CCCCTTTTGGGGAGCCCATGTCGATGCCCCAAAATCATTCCCATCCACATAGGGAAAGAGCTCAGAAGTTGCCAATTTGCCTTTTTGAATTTACGCATAGCTAAAAGTATCCTTTCGGTAACCACAAATATTTACCCAGCTCAAGGCCCAGGTCCTGCGGTTGCCTCTCCGCCAACCAGACGCGAGTGCGGATGCGGATGCGGATGTGGAGATGTCCTGTTCCTTGGCCTACGGGCAACTTGCAACTCGCCCGCCGGCTGCCTGGTAATTTTCAAAATCTGTCGGACCATCATTTTCAATCTCTCCCCCAGAACTTATTTTTCCATCACCAAGTTTTTGGACCAATGCTCATATTTACACATCCTTGCCCGCCTTCGAGTGTGTGTGTGTGTGTGTGGAAGGGACTTTTGAAATGAGATTAAAAACGGCAAATTCCTGGCTGAGGGCTGCCGGCTCCTGGCTAAGAGTAATGAATGCGGTTTCTGCCCAAGTCAAATTTTAGAAAGTGTTTTATTTGACTAGGTCTGCGATGCGCCCCTCGGCACAAAAACACAAACACACGCACACACACACACACGCACAGCCAGACGAACCACACACTCTCAAACCCAAAACCCCTACACATACATATGCACTCACACTTGGCCAGACGGAAATTGGAAAATTCGCTGGAAGTTGCAAAAAATACAACCAAGAACATAGTGGCGAAAGTGAGCCACTTTAATAGTCGCCTTAAACTGGGGAGCTTAGTACACAAGTCTGAATATAAATGAATCCATATGTGCGCCTAATAATATTAATGTTGCAGATGCAAGCTTGAAGATGGAAAACAAATTCTAGGTCCGAACTAAACCAACTAAATACTAGCATTTCCAGCTCTGTTCAACAAATGGTGCTATTTTTATTCCCGAAAAGAATTCGCGTATCTTTGGAATCTAAGCTGCCCCGGGCGCACAAAGTTCATGAGCTATCGCAACGTTTATCGGGATGCGGCGGCCTGTAATCGAAAACATTGAAACATTTTGTAGGCATTTATGCAGCTCATAATGATTTACGACGCGATTTCGAGGCACCGGCAACAGGAGCACGTACATGCCACAAGCTGCTTCCCGGTTTTCGTGTTTCTGGCTGTGCATATTTTTTGTGCATATCTCTTTTTTTGGTTTTGGGCAAGGTCGCGAGTGGTAACCTTTAATCTCGGCGTGCGTGCCTCCCAGTTTTTTTTTTTTTTTTCCTTTTGCTGTTCCTGTTCCGATCGCGAGTCCTTTCTATGCCGATTTGTAGCCAGGCAGCTGAAGACGTGAAATGTTTTCGAAACAATCGAGTGTCCGCCATGACAGAGCCCTCCTACTCCCTTGAAAACTTGGAAACTTCGCGTGGAAGGGGGTGTCCCTTTTTGGAAACAAGTTTCCGCCGGGGGTTGCAAAGCGTCGAATGTCCTGCCGCCGAATGCAAAGCTGTAGCTCAGCAAATTACCAAAGGCCAACATGCCGGATGACCAGCGGCCAACCCACCACACCCTTGGACAACCCGTATCCCCCGGAATCCCCTGATTCCGCGAAACTGCAGAGCCAGCAAGGACACCACTCCACCACCCCACGCCCCGCGCCCCGCGCTTCCTTGGCCCGTTGTGTGTAAATATTTTGAGGCACGCGTGTGTTCCTTGCTCTCATTATAAAGTTCGGCAATTCAACCCCGGCAACAACTGCGCTTCCAAATGCAAACTACATCGTTTTCATTAATGCGTAGCATTTAATAATTTACAAATAGCCAACTGAACTCCAGCTTAAGCTCAAACTTGGTTGGTGTGTTCCCATTATAATGTTTTCGTTTCATTATTCATTCATTATTCGTTTCAGTATAACAGTTCTATTGAATCATATTTTGTTATCAATGAAATCATGAAAATGTGCAATTATTGTAGAAAGTTCAATGCATTTTCATATTTCTTTGTCATGATAACTGCCATCTTTTTGCAACTCTAAGATGAGTGCCCTATTATCTTCAACAGATATTTTGTTACAAATATTCCAACCTTTGTCCTTTTATAAGCAAGCCGCCTAGCAATTGGACCTTAATATTCTTTTGATTTTGATTTTATTTAATTATTTCTCTACATAAACTTCAACGTCAACATTTGATATATGTAAGTATATGCGGCTCAATTCCATGTGACTTAACTGATTTTTTGAATTATTAGCAGTCGCTCAAGAACTTTATAACACTATTATTTTCAGCTCCTTATATAAACAATATATCCGATTTAAAAGTAAATGGTTTAAATGGTTTGGTCAATTGTGTATCAAATTTCTTTAGAATTATAAATAATTCTCTTCCTTAAATTATATAAATTTCAAAGAAATTAAATGATACATATATAAATTAATTAATTATAGCAGTCGCCCGAAAACTTTATAACACTATTATCTTAAGCTCCTTCTATAAACAATAAATCCGTTTTAAAAGAACGGAATTGGTTTGGTCAATTTGATACACTTCTTTACAATTATAAAAATTCTCTTCCTAAAGTTATATAAATTATAAATGCATTAAATTATATATATATAAATTAGTCTATAGCAGTCCCTCAAGAACTTTATAACACTATTATTTTCAGCTCCTTATATAAACAATATATCCGATTTAAAAGTAAATGGTTTAAATGGTTTGGTCAATTGTGTATCAAATTTCTTTAGAATTATAAATAATTCTCTTCCTTAAATTATATAAATTTCAAAGAAATTAAATGATACATATATAAATTAATTAATTATAGCAGTCGCCCGAAAACTTTATAACACTATTATCTTAAGCTCCTTCTATAAACAATAAATCCGTTTTAAAAGAACGGAATTGGTTTGGTCAATTTGATACACTTCTTTACAATTATAAAAATTCTCTTCCTAAAGTTATATAAATTATAAATGCATTAAATTATATATATATAAATTAGTCTATAGCAGTCCCTCAAGAACTTTATAACACTATTATTTTCAGCTCCTCATATAAACAATATATCCGTTTTAAAATTAGGGAAATGGGTTAATACACTGCTTTAAAATTATAAATAATTCACTTTCCAAAATTATATAAATTATAAATGCATTAAATTATAAATATATTAATAAATTTATAGCAGTCGCTCAAAACTTTTGTAACACTATTACTGTAAGCTTATTCTATAAACAATATATCCGTTTTAAAAGTATGAATATCAATTGTTGTCAATTTGATACACTTCTTTGGAATTATAAATAATTCGCTTCCTAAAATGAAGATCCTTCTGCAATATATAAAAGTAATGAAAAGTATTAAGTCAACATGTTCCAGAGTAAAGCAGACATCTCAGGGAAGAACGACATCCATTCCCGGATAACCAGAACGAGAGGGCAGTCCATTAATTGATTATATAATCGGAACAATTGCCTCGTAAGCCCCCAAATGAGATGCGTACATCGGCGGGCGGCGTGGCTAAGTCGCTTTCTAATTATTGGTAATCCCGAGGCCAACGGACATCTTGAAACCCATTCAACTGACTTGCATAGTGGGCGAGAGCGAGAGCGAGAGGCAAGCGGCGGTAGAGTGAGGCGGAGCATAATGGCGGCGGCGGGTGGATTTCTGGATTTACGGCTCGATGGTCCGCTGTCCGTATGTCCACATGGCCGTATATCCCTTTTGTCCGCGCATCCCAGTGTCCCTGTGTCCCTGTGTCCCTGTGTCCCAATGTCCCCGTGTCCCAATGTCCCCGTGTCCGATTGTCCACGAAGGATGGCCATAGCGCCGGTGGTGTTTACTTGCCGGCAGCATTAACCCTTTTCCAGCTCACGAGCACACATACCACGAAGAAGTCGCTGCCTTTGTGTGGGTCACCCACTCAGTGCGCCTGCCTGTCCGCCATCGCAAGGACTCGCCGTGGCGAGGGGCAGGGGGCTAGAGCCCGGGACAAGAGGCAAGGACCCCATACTCATTAAAAGATTCTGACCATTTGAAAGCGAATTTAACCTTTTGTCTTCCCAGGCATCCGCTGGCTCTGTGCGATGTATGTATGTATGTACGTGTATCCTGGCGCATCCTTTCGTGTGTGCGTGGCTTTTTTGCCTTCTAATTGTCACTTGATGGCATGCATGTGGCTCTGGGTGTGTGTGTGTGTGTGCAGTGGGTGTAAATTAATTTGAGACTACTTGAAAAATATTTAAATAACGCATGTGTGTCTGTGCGCGTGTGCTGGAAGGGAAAAAGTATTCCAAACAAATCACAAACAGATATTCGGCATTCATTGTTTTAGGTCTAGACAACATTTGCCATTTCCTCTCTATCCCAGGACAACCCGTCAGCTTCAACCCATTTCATCTGCCCCACCCACCCGCATCACTTCGATGCCCCCGGGCAGTCCCTCTTCAAGGATTGTCAAATATCGTGGCTTCTCCGAGGATTACGAAGCTAGCAGTCACATTCGCGGGCCCTGAAATGTATGCTATGGCATTTTGCTAATCAAACAAATGCCAGTGGAAGCGAACGTACTTGTATTTCCTAATCACTCTTACACAATATTGGTAGCTTGGGAAAATTCGGCTTTGGTAAAAGCTAAGCGCCAGTCGGTAAATCATTTTCAAAGCTAATTCTGCATAAAATTATAAGGCAACAAATAGTTAACCCTTTGATGACCATCTGCAAAAAGAAAGTTGTAGCCATTCAAAATGTAAATTTGAAACTGTGATTTACAACCCATTGTTCGATACAAATTAAAATCTAGCTGAAACCTAATCCGATTATGTAAATAACCCCACAAGCTCGCATTTCTCCTGTCGATATATCGCATCCACAAGATACATGATCCACTTTCCCTTTTTAACCCCTTCGGCCATATAGTCATCTCTCTCGCTCTTCTGACTGCGAGTCCTTCAATTTACGAAAATAGGGGTTGATCTAGCCCGCAGATCGCTTGCAACCCCTAAGTATCAGGAGAGTCCGAGCGATTGGCCGCCAGAAGTTCTGATCAGATCGGGGAGTTGATTTCCGTGTGACCTCTGCTGTTCGGATAGGGAACAATATTCGGGACGTGACTGTCCCAAAGGGAATCGTGCAGGATTTCGGCACTCTAGGATCCGCCTTCAGTTGTAGACATTCCCTCGGCGGACTAGGCAGCGAGATTTACCACACATACCACACGGATAGAGGTACCTAAAATTAAATTAATTGATACCTAAAATTACCTCGAGTGATGTGGGTAGGAAATAACTTTAAAAGGTATTTCTTGTTACAAATCTTTGAAGATTAACTAAGTGATTTGTATTTAATATTTGGTTTGCTTGCCAACATATCAAATAGGCACTAAATGCAATATTTGGAAGAAAATGGTTACATTTGTGCTTGCCCGTTGCTATTAAAAGAAAAAAGTGGCTCAATATCAAATTAATTTAGTACTGCTTAGTTGTTGAGGTACAGCGAAATCTAAATGCGATATTTGGAAGAAAGAGGTTCCATTTGTACAGGCCTGTTGCCTGAAAAAAGTGGCTCAATACCAAATTAATTTAGTACGGCTTAGTTGTTGAGGTACAGCAAAATCTAAATGCGATATTTGGAAGAAAAAGGTTCCATTTGTACAGGCCTGTTGCCTGAAAAAAGTGGCTCAATATCTTAGTTGCTTAGTTGTTGAGGTGCAGCAAAATCAGGCTTATAGGGGTGAATTCAAAGTGAAGCCAGGTTTTAAGTTACTTCTCCAAGATGCAACCCCTAGCCCACCAATATGGTCTTAACCCATCGACGCCTTAATCAGTTTGAACTCTGTCCCGCTGCTAATCAAGATGACCAGCAGCAGTGATCTCGACCCGGGCTCCTGAGTCCCAAGATGACCAGTGGCCGGAGATCAGGAGCAACCCTTGCAAGGGCGACGAAACGGGTTCCTCAAGCAGCCCCGTAGGGGTTCATCTTAGAGGTCCTCGAGATGGCACTCGACACACTTCGCCAATTGGGCAGTGGTCAAGGGACCGGGGCCAAGTGGCGAAACCCCAATTAGGCATTTTCATTAGCGTCGGAAAATGCAAATGATTGATCGCATTTGCCGCTCGGAAAAGCCAAAGACAACTGACAGCGAAATCAGCGCTAAAATTAATCATGTTTGTGCGTCAAAAAATGGAAAACTTTTGCTGCCACTGCGACCTTGCCGGGATGCGAAAGGACTCGCAAGGACTACTCGAAAAAGTGGTCGGAGGTGATGATGCCGGCGGTGTCGGGTTTCCATTGCTGTCAGTGCTGTCGGTGTTGTTATTGCTCTTTTATAAGCCATAAAAAAGCATCAAAATTGCACATTCGCCGGCTGCCCATTTGCCCATTTGCCCATTTGCCAGATGGGCCACTTGACGTCCGCGAATTCCCGACGGGAGTTCGGCCTCCAACTTTTCTGGGCCATAACTCTCCGAGTAATTGACAGATTGCAATTAGAAATCGATGCAAGAAGCCCAGTGGCCAACCTAGCAAAAAGTATCGAGTTTCAATTCGAGGAGGAAACCCAGCAAATTTGCACCTTTTCCTTAGGGGTGAGCCAGTTGGGGCGATTCCCTTTTCGGCCGAGTGGAGTCAACTGGAAAGCAGTTGATTTGGCTTATGGATTCTGGTTTAAGCTGGGTCAGTTTAGGACTGTCAAGGCGTGCTCCCTCCGGGAATTGGAAGGTGTGGCCCGATGTTTGGACACTCACTCAGAAAATATTCAATAATATGTTTGGGTAATCGATACGTCAGGTCTGAATGCCCACGAAAAGTTAGCTTTGAATATATTATATAAATATTATTAAGAATAGTATAGTAAATTGCATTATTCATTCCTCAAATAATTAATCATACAATCGATTTATAAGACCGCGAATAATTTAAAAAACTAAGCCCATCAGGGCATCGTTTTGTAAGTTTTTTCAAACAAGAAAACCACACCGCAAGCCCTACGTATCAATTCACTTTCGCTACAAATGCTTCTTAGCCGAAGAAATGTGTATATCGAATTTCAGTTAATCAGAAAATGAGCCCAATATCCCGACTAGGACATTCAATGGCCTGGAATCCCCCGCCATATGCGGGAGTAGACCCAAAAGTTGGGAATGGACGTGGGGCAGGGACTATTCAAATAAGTGAATGATAGATGGCGATTGGGAGGAATATACACACACATATGCCAGGGGGAGGGGGTCGGAAAATGCTTGTTGCCGCAAAAAGCCTTAACAGTGGCCATAAAATACCCCATGTTTCGCATAGGAAACCCCGGCCACCAGAAGTGACAGAGCAACCCTCTCTATATGGTAAGCCGCTGTATGTAAGAGTCTATCCCTCGTCCAAATACTCGAAGTGACCGGCCGAATCGTAAAAATGTAAGACGAAAACGAGCTCAAGAATAAAAACACATTAGATACAAGCAAATATCCTTTCCGCAGTCGCATGTCCTTTGCACACACAAACACTGGCGCGCACATACAAATTTATCTCCATTTGACCCTCTTCAAAGTGCTTTTTATAGTCATTTAGTGTTTTGGCCCTCCCGTCAAGTACTTTTATTACACACGTATAAATCCAATTCGGCATTCGGCGGCGTATATGTAGGGTCCAAGGATCCAAGGATCCAGGATTCAAGGATGTTTGGGTGTGTGCAAAAAGGTGGGACGACGCCAAACGAAACGAAACGAAACGAGAGTCCAACTAATGAAACGGAACCAAGAGTCGGGAAAGGACCCAGGACCCAGGACCAGAGACCAGGGACCATGGAACCCAGGGACTTTCCTTGGACCGCGGCGCCCAAAAGGACCACAAAACACATGCATACACAATGCCCACGGCAACAACAGAAACAGCAACAATTTGGTTGTCAAAACTACACTCGGAGAAGGCAACCCACACGCATACACGGCGAGAAAAGCCCTACTCTATCCCTTGAATATATTCCCAACAGAGAAATTACATTAGGCAAATGCTGAATTTGATTTAAAGATTTATCATTGAGCATTAAAATAAACGCAATAAAAACAGCCCACCAAAAATGTATGTTACTAGTGCCAAGTTCGTTGTAAGGATTGAATTCTTGGTTAGATTCAGTTAAAACTTTTCTCCCGGTGCACATATGCAAAGCAGATGCCAAGGCCCTTCGCCGGTCGGCGTGGGTCCCACCCAGCGAGTCCTTTTTAAAATTTTAAGACATGTAAAAGGTCCTGCATCGTCCTGCGCGGCGGCGATTCGGCAGCTCCAACTGGCAGCCCACCGAAGGTCCAAGGATGGGCATTCGAATATGTATCGCCCGGCAGGATCTACAGTCCTGGAGTCCCATTGTGTGTGTGGGTGAGCTTATGGCCTTGTATGTTGCCAATGTTATGGTATTGGGGCTGGGATATCTGTTTGTTCGTTCGTCCGTTTGTTTGCTTGTCGCTCGGTTGGCGTTTGTGTGCGTGTGTCCTGTGTCCTGTGTCCTGTGCTGTCCTGTCCGGCCTTTCCTCCTTTTACTCCTTTTGCCCCTTTCTCCCCCTTTTCCGCTTTTTTCCGCCCCTTTCCCCACTGCCGCGATGTAGAACTTTCCAACCCAACATCACCGCATCTGCAAATGTTGTTGTCCTTTGGGTTGTTATTATTTTAAATTTCTGTTTTCGGTTGTATTTTTTTTCTGCGTTTTTTTCTCCTGTATTTCACTGTCCTCTGTTTTTGGCCCTTGCCTTTTGCATATGGTCGTCCCTTTTCCTTTTGGACCATCGCCATTTTGGTTCACTTTTTGCCATAGCTTCTTGTCCTTTGCGAAAATATTTGTTCTGCTCATATATTTTAAATAACTTTTTTTTAGTTCAACACACCACAAAAAATTGCTAATTTCAATTCATTTCGGCCAATATGTCAACGGCCAAATATGTCAAGTACGAGTAATTCAAAAAGCTATTTTATTTAAATTGAAAATGGCCGTTTTATTTCCAAGCAAGTTTTAGCCTTTGGAGCGATACCTTTTAAGAAATCAAAGAAGCCTAGTCTATGATATGATTTGGGCTATCCAAAAGAAAGCCCATTTTCGAAAAGGAAGCCGCAGGAATGCGACCCACCCACAATTTTTCCACCACTTTGCACAACAAAAAAAAACGAGAACAGACAAAAAATGAAAACCCTTTAAAAAACAATACACGAGCTGTAACAGGGCCATTAATTTCCCAATTTACAGTCTATTCGCAAGCCGTTGCCAAAATTGTTTAAGGTTTTAAAACCCACATACACACACACACATGGAGATACTGATAGATGTGTGGGTGGTGCGAAGGGGTGTGAGTGTGGGCCAGTGGCCATATGTCCATTCCGGAGAGGAATTTCCATCCAACGAGGTGTGCGGTGCGTGTGTGTGGGTTGTGGGTTGTCTTCTTCAAGGACCGCCAGCGAATGGGGTGGTAAATGCTGCCCAAGGGACTTGTAGCTGGATACCAACAAAGTTTTTCAAAAAATAAACGAAACGCAGAAGAAAATACGAAGGAGAAGCCGCCAGGAGCGCAGCAAGGACTTTCGGCCAGCTGGACATACACCAATGCCCTTCCAGCCCAAAAACAAGCAGCGAAATATCGCTAAAAGAACGAGTACTCACAATGATGTGTAAATATTGAAGCACACTTTTTTTGGTACGGTGTGCCACATAAAAGTAGGGTGCTTAAAGGTCTAGCAAACTGACTCTCCTGACCGAAGGCAGCTGAAACGCAAAAGAAACGCCACCACATGGTTTTATTATATTGTGAATGTGATTACCTTAAGGATATGCAATAAGCACACACACACACACACACACATACACACGCCCAAGAGGCAAGGATCCGGGCACTGGGAATGATGTGTGGAGATAACCAGCGTCGGCGGAGCAACCCATTTCGAGGCTGGACAGGCGACGACCCATCTACCATCGCCATTGCCATCTGCAGCCCATCCGGAACCCCATCCAGAGCCCATGCTCCACATCCTCCATATCCTTGCCATCCTGGCCCACTGCATGCCCAGCAGTCAGTCGTAAAGCCAGCCGAAGGGGCGGCGGTTGGCTGGTGGCTGGTTGGCTGGTTGGGTAGCTAGATGGATGGGTGGGGCTCTGAATGGAACGCCGGAGCCACAAAGATACGCGAGATACGGATGCAGAAAAAGTATCTCACAGATACAGATACCGCGCTGAGCGCTGCATGAGCATTTTCAATTAGTGCAGACAACGAAAGGCCGAACGAGGGCCATTTACAGATTTCCCGCAGACTCCCAGTTCCCATATAACCACTCTGCAAGTGACCACATTCATATCGCTCCTGACTGGGATGCCCAATGAAAAGTTGTCCATCTGGAGAGTCGCACTAAGCGCATTTAGTATTTGCCAACTTTCGCTAATTTTATAATACCAATGTGCCTCAAGCTGCCCTCGCTGACGGCGAGTCATGTGCATGGGAATGAGTTGCAGTTGATGCGGAATATGAAAAAAAAAAGAATAGGAGATGTGGAGATGTGGAGAAATGGAGGAGGATGTGAGGAAGATGTATGCAGATGTCATGTGGACCGTGTGCAGCACGTAGCATCTGTGGACCGTGGACCACCTTGGCGAGTCCTGCGAGTCCTGTCAACCGTTTTTGCAGCCATTCTGCACGTTCATCCTGCCAACTGCAACTGTGCGAGTCCTGACAGGGGGGCGGGGGGTAATGCGTAATGGGTAGGAGGAGCCGGGGCAAAAACCGAGGCAAACCGAAAATCGAGGATAAGAACGGATAATCTAATGTCGCAAGGATCTGCCACTCACGGCGAGTCATCGTCATCGCCACACACACGGCCTATAAATAACTGCAAATAAATCAAAATCTATCAATGCGAACAATTCGATGTGTTACAATTGACTTTGCCGATCAAAGCCGTCCTGCCTCTGGCTTCGCTGCATTTTCGTCCTTCGTCCTGCGGCCTGCGTCGTTTTTTTGTGTCATACCTTTTGTGTGGAGTGCGCGACCAGAGAGTATCCTTTGTGTCAATATTATTAGCAGCAGCCGAAGCAAGCAATCGAAAGGATAATGGCCGAAAGGGTGACAGGGCACTGGGTTACGAAATGCACTGGAAAAAAGGCACCCTAAATCATAGCCACAATTCTATGATTTCAAAAATCATTTTTCATATGCTTTCCTATTTCACTTGCAAGACCTATTATCCTTATTAGTTTTGTTTGGCAAGAACTAGTCAACTTCCATCTAACAACAATTAGTCTCAAATGAATACGATTTCCCAATTTTCGGAGCAAGAGTCCTATGTTTTTTCTCGCTGTGCAGGATGTGTGGCTTTCGAATTTCCACCACTCCTGCTCGCAGTGAGTGTGCGAAATTTTACAGTAATTTAAAAGAGAAAAAAAATGTTTCACCAATTTAATCAATATTACACAACCCATTCGAGAGATACACGCACACCAGGCGTATCTGATATCGATGCGCTTCCTAATGGACACTGCGCTCTAATTTTATTTATGATCCAATGTGCCGAGGGAAAATCGGGAAATCGGGAAATCCGCGAACCGAGTTGCAGGGATGCAGGACGGATTTCAGGACGAGCACGCAGGATGAGTGTGAAAGGGCATGTATCTGCGGACTGATATCCCGTTGTCTGCCGATTGAATTTACGCGCTCTGTTTGCCATTTGGCCTGTGTCCTGCGTCCTCTTTCCTTTCATCCTGTCACTGGGCGGTGGGCAATTTTTTAAAATAATGCTGTGCTATTTTTTGTTGGTTCAACTTACCGCAATACAAACGAAACTGAATCAACAGGGGCGGGGAAATGGAGTTCAACAAGGCGAATGCTGTGAAAGTGACGCCGATATGATTTCGTAACTAATTAGAGAGTGGTTACCACTCACAAAAATTATAAGACTTTAAAACCTAGTATTCTATGCCATTCAAGTATAGTTACTACAGTAGCCATCTAACAAATTTAAATACTATGGCAAATAGATGAAACCGTTTGCGTACTAACATGAGTTACGTTCTTCACCCTTTCGGCGATCCCATCTGGTGAAAGAAGCAATCCAACTAAAGTGGATAGCCCACCAGGATGAATCAGCTCATATCCCCGCGCTGACCGGCGAGACATTCCGCAAAATCATTTTACCTCCTGTGTCCTTAATCAGGAAACCCACAGGACGCAGGACGCAGGACGCAGGACACAGGACACAGAACACAGGGCAGGTTTAGGCCAAGATCTCTAACTGCCACCCAAAGAAGTGAAACCGAAACCGAGAAAACCAATGGAAAGGCGAAAGAAAACCCAAAGGGGCCCCCGAGGGCCGTTTTGCACTAATTAATAACAGTAAATTCCCCCAGCGGAAGGACTCTCGCTCTCGCTCTCCCTCTCCCTCTCCTTGTCGCTCAAACTCACTTGGTCCTTCCTGGTTGTTCAGGACATTTAAGGACAATCCTTTGGGTTACTGTACTGACAGCTAAAAAATGTCGCATAGTTTTTTACGTCTTAACGAGTGTCAACCACCGGAGTCAGGAACTCAGGAGCTCAAATGTCCTGCTGGCTGTGTCTGC